CCCTGTCCGCTGCCCACGTGTTCCGCCGCTTTGCTTCCTCTCCCTGGTCTGCTGGAGACCAGGGAGAGGAACCCCGTTCGTAACTGCGGATCCGACATAAGTCGGATCCGCGTAACTCGGGGACTGCCTGTAAATTGTTTCTGGTCCTCCCAAAGCCCCCAGTGCCAACTTTAGCAACACATTTGGTATGGTCTTTCACAATATGTCCGCTGCCCACGTGTTCCGCCGCTTTGCTTCCTCTCCCTGGTCTGCTGGAGACCAGGGAGAGGAACCCCGTTCGTAACTGCGGATCCGACATAAGTCGGATCCGCGTAACTCGGGGACTGCCTGTAAATTGTTTCTGGTCCTCCCAAAGCCCCCAGTGCCAACTTTAGCAACACATTTGGTATGGTCTTTCACAATATTCTTGCCAGCAAGTTAAGGGAATATGGATTGGATAAATGGACTGTAAGATGGGTAGAAAGCTGGCTAGAACAGGGTTTCCTAAACTTTTTACTTTCATTGGAACTTTGGTTTTTTTCAGGACCTTTTTTTGCAGCCCAAAAATATAAACACATATTAAAAAAAGAATAAATTTTCACTGTTTATTATTTATTCACAATAATAATAGTACATAATATAAATCTTGATCTAAAATACTGCCTAACTTATTATTACCTTAATTACAATTTAACCAGTAGAATTTTAGCAGTTGTAAAGTGTGTTTGTTTATATTTTAATGAGTTGAATATAAGTCATTTATTATGTGTGCACTTTATAGCTTTTAAATAACTAAAAAGAGAACTAATGGGAAGAGTGATGTTTTGCATCACATAACAGCTTTGTCAGGAGCAAAAGAAGAAAGTTTTATCCTCAAATGTGGTTCCACATTCAGTCTATTTCTATATTTATTTTAGAAGAAAACCAAAGACGAGAAACTAGTTTTACACTTCTGTTGTGATGAAAGGCATTAAGAATTTGACTGCTTTCTCAGAAAAATGTGAATATTCATTTCTACAGCTCAACCAAAAATCAATCAAGGAGAAGCAGTGAGGAATCCTGTGGCACCTTATAGACGAACCGAAGTGTTGGAGCAT